GAAGAGATAGAGTACTGCCTAGAGTGGGAAAACAAATGAACTGACATACCTGCAAGATTGTTATGCAAATTGATAACGAATACAAGACTAGGAGCAGAATGAAAAGAAACAAAAACAATTAGAAGTTTGGAACCGAAGATGAAAATCATAATTTATGATTGGACACATTTTTGGAAAAGGTTAAAAAGGACTAAAGAAGTGCACTGCATAACAAGAAAAAGTAGTACAAGAAGATGCACATTTATAAAGTGTATGATAGATAAACTTCTAACTCTAGAAGAACTTAATAAAAGAAGGCCAGATATATATATAACAACAGAATGCCAAGTATGCTAAGATAAAGTTAAAGAAACACAGTCACATCTAGCTTCATGCAAAGGACAACAGAGTTTATGAAAATGAATTCAAAAAGTGACTATTGCGACAGCCTGGAAGGGTTTAAAGGAAGAAGAAAAAACTCGCATCCCACCATATGTACTATATATAGCACTCTTCGGAAAAAGTGAAGAAGAAGAAATAGAGATGAGAGAAGCATTAATCAAAGACCTAATTCGAAAAAAAACACAAGACAGACTAATGCAACTCCTAAATACAAAAGCGAGACAGCAGTTTATAGAAACAATAGCAAAAACAGCATGGGACATGTTCTATGAACAAGTTTAGAGAATACGATGTGAAAAAATTAATGAATGGGAGAAAAAAAAAGGCATAACAACCAAAATAAAGAAAAAAGAAGGAAAATCCAAAGAAGAAAAGAAAGACTAATCAGCAGAAGATTAAAGAAGAAAAGAAATAAGCAAAAGAGAAAAAAGATAGAATTAATGAAGAATTTATAAAGACAATGTTAGGACTTGTCGTGGAAGGGAGAAGACCCTTTCACTACAGACTTTAAGTAGTCAGACAAGTGGCCTACTTTTGTTAAAAGTAGTGTGACAGGTTGCACTTAGGTGGCCAGGTGATGCTAGACTTAGTTGTTAGATAAATCTATGTAATTGCAAAAGTAATTCCAAGAATCTTAATAAAGTACTAGCGTGACTGCTTAAGTATAAAAAAAAAAAAAAAAAAAAAAAAAAAAAAAAGTTAGCATTATAACTTTTTAAAAATAGATTATAATTATACTAACTTTTTAAATAGTAAATTCTACAACTTTGATAAAACTTCCTACTTTTTTTTATTTACTCTCTGTATTTTTAAACTATATAAACAATATAAAATTTAATAGATTTAAACAACCAATCATATGAAAATCTTTCCATAAGTTGGATTCTCACGACTACGTATAACAAAAAAAATTAACCTTATATAATAATGTTATCAAATATACTAATTTTCGTGTTAATGATATATAGTATAAATTAAGATCATATTCCTTTTTTACAGATTGTTTTTTTGCTAATAAGATAATGCCTATTGCCTATTTCTATTACTTACCAAATGTTTATGTATATTACACATTGTTTTCAATTTCTTATAATTTTTATAGTTTGATATTAAACAGAATGCTAAAAAATATAACTATACAATAAATTTTGTGAAGAAAATTGACGAAAAAAATTTCGATCTTGTATAATTTGTAATGAAAAAGTAATGATAGATATATCAATATAAATACTGATAGATTTTTGCAAGATTGTAAACCATTGCCTCTTTATACACCTAAATGTTTCAATGCAAAAATTGAAAAACCTAAGCTAAACCAATTGCATGCAAAAGGATTTAACTGAAAGACAAATAATCAAGTGGGTGTCTGTAAGTAACTATCGACATGGATCATGCAATATATGTCCATTTATTGTCGTCGTATCAATATCGCCATTAAGAAAAGTATTATGCATCACACCATTAGCCCGTGGGCTTATAGACGATCTCCGTACGCGCGGTAAATTTTTCAAGATATAATAATCCAAGAAAGAAAATAAGGTCGTCACAAACGCACCAGCACGAAAAATGATGGCGAGCCATTGGCCAGTACTCCTTAATTTGTGAAAATGTCCGTATGGACCCACCCAGTCAAATCGGGTTAAGCCCAATATTCTTACAAGAGACGGCCATGATGTGCTAATAACCAGTAATATTGTGACATTTGCTATCATATGTTGAACGTTCATTCTATTCCAACGAGGGCGTATCCTTTTGAATGGCTGAATAGAATAAACACCAATTATGGTTGACGCAGTAAAGTAAAAAATCAAACAAATATCAAACAGGACACTATATCTTCCAAAAACTGATCCAGTTTTTTTTCCAAAAGCAGATTCTAACTTCAAAGTATTATATTGATCATCATCCACAAATAAACTTTTAATAAAAGCCCATGATATATGCACTTGTAGAAGAGCCCATATTAAAAGACTAAGTATAAGTAAAAGGAAAAAAGACATGTTTCGATAAAGAGGAGATTTTGAAAGATCAGATTGAGTTTGACGGCTTTCAGATTCGAGAGTTTTAAGTGCTGTAAGTAGATCTCTTCTGTTTAAAGTAGAAATTCCCGATCTAGAGTTAGTTGAAAACCCATTCATTGATGCATATAATTTGTCAGACGAAGATGGACAATTAACTGTCGAAGATAATGCAGTAGCTGAACGGGCCATCGCTTTTTCACCATGAGATCTCCATACACGATCTAAACTCTCCAATTTTTGTTTTATGGCGTTGATTTCCATTCTGTGTTGGCTTAATTTATTTTTCAACGATCGTCTATAATTGAAGTTTAAAGGAAGTTGACCTATCCATGCCCATATTCTAATGTAGCCTTTCGGCGTTGCTTTCCAACAAATTGTAGCACCACCTAAGCACGTCAACAAATTCAAGACAACAAATTCGTCGATATTTACTATCCCAAAAATTAACTTTGACACATATATAAAAACATACATCAATAAGCCAACCAGTAACATAATGCTCAGGGTGTCTCTAGCTTTTGCAATAAGTGTTATTTGTTGATCAGTCTCATTAAAAAAATAAGCAAATGGGAGCAACACAAATAGAGTAATGTTGCAACCTATGAAGGTGTAATTCCAGAGGGTTTCCAGCAAAGCAGCATCCAGCCAACTCAGGTAGTATATTTCTTTGTTCAAGTCCTCAAGCAGTAATGCCGTTGCAAATATCGTGAACGGCAACAATAAAAAGCCTGCCAAAGCCATTGCCAGCCCTGCGGCACATAGGACAATTATGACCAAATTGTCAATGCCAAACAAATCATCATCTTCGTCATCTGGATCAGAAGCCCTAAATTTTTTTCGAAATCGTTGTAATAGGACATACGATATTGCGTATAATGAGAGAAAAAGAAGGAAGGCGATGATGTTCTGGCGGACCAGATTGTAGAAGGCAATTGCAGCCTGTTCATTAGGGTCTTCTTCAAGAGTCGACCTCATAACAATTTATATCAACACGTTTAGGCTTTCAAAACAAAAACAAAGAAATTGAACATAAATTAACGAAAGCGCAGCAACATTATCAAACTTTTGGTGACAGTTGGCGGAATAATCTTTACCTTCTAGTATTTACACTATCTCCAAGAAACTTTTTGACAGCAACAATCAATCTTGCTAAGCCAGAGAAAGTAATCAAAACGACAACTAAAAGATTTCTTTCTCAACGGCCTTAATAATATGGGAAAGGTAAAAGACGTTACATTTTTATACATCATATATAAACAACATTTTTATTATATACTATATTACATGTCAAATGATTGTTGCTCATCTCACAGGCCTGTGTTCTGTAGACTTTTTGCAAACTGTGCCGATCACAATCATGCAGCTTTAACAGGAAATCATTCACTCCACTTTATTAATACAATGCAATAAATTATACCGATACTGATCAACAAATCTAGTTTTTTAGAATACCCACTATAGCAATATAGTATAGTAATAAGATTTTTCGTGCAATAACAAATGTAATGTATATTATAGTTTTTATGATTTTTTATTGCCAAATATAGTCTAATCTTGTTATAGTTATTTTTAATATAATTATTGTTTTTTATTTGTCTAGTAAAGTTTAGATAATTACAGTTAAATTTTTCAAAACTGATTCTGTCAAAATGATAATTAATGTTTGTTTCATAAGTCAAACTCAATAATCTATCAAACTTGATAACTGATATTTTTTATTTTTATTTTTATTTATTTTTAAAGGTTATATTTTGTGACAGTATTTTATTAACATTTTAAAGTTAGTACAATTATTTTTTACAGAGATGTAAGTACAACTAGTCACATATGCAACTTTTGATTGCTTATTTAAGTAGTCAGTTTTAGAATTCTGCATTAAATATTTTACTTATAATTTACTAGAAAATTGATTATTTGTTTTGTTGATTATTTAATTATTACAAATTTTTACTGAATTATTAACTTCTTTTAATAATTTTTTGGTCAACAATATCAACAAACTAAACTACAAAAAATTATTATAACAAAATTAAAAAAACAATATTTCTAGTTTTTTTTTTTTTTTTTTAAATATTAAGGTAAGTACTTGTGACTTAAGATTTGATTGATAGTATATTTAGCTAATGGTTGTATTACAACCACAAAAGCAACTATGAAAAGAGTATACAACTAGTCATTTGTACAACTTTAGTTATTGTCTAATTTAAGTAGTCTGTTTAAAGGTTCTACACTAGTTATCATATCTAGAACCTGTTTGTAGGTTTCTTATTTAAACACTTTAGTTTCTGTATTTATTTATTTACTTTTGTTTATCAATAATTTCAGCTAATGCTAATAAAAATATTTTATGATCACTAAGTTTTTAAAGCAATTCACTTATATAAGAAACTTTTGACTTTGTATTAAACCTTCTAGAATTTTCTGTATTCTATTTTTATAACTAACTTAATATCACTATGATTGAGACCAATATTTGCAGTTAGAATGTACCATTAAACTGCTATCTATGTCTTTGTAGAGTTTATTCCAACTTCAATACTGACTTCACAACATATTTCTATTATTTTGATATTTAATTCAAGTTCTATCAAACTCTTAAACTAGATAGTTTAAAAAAATAAATCATAACTATACTTCTGATTTACATGTTCTTTGATATATAATCTTTTTCTTTAAAACAGATCCTATCAACTTGGTTAATTTTATTTAATTACTTCTCAAAGGTTAGCTTTTTGTTTAGCTTTATAAGTTCTAACTTCATTTTATAAGTTTAGTCTTTATAGTAGTACTATTAAAAGTTCAGGTTACCTTTCTATTTGGATCTTTCAAATAAGTTTTTGTTTTCCTATTTGGTTCTTATGATTTATATAGCCTAAGAACTTATTATAGATTTATATTGTCTAATACCAGTTTGTGTTCCTTTATACAATATTGTATAAATGCCTAAACATTTTAGTTATATTGGTATAATATAGGTTATAGATATCTAATTCCAACTAATTATAGAAGATAATTAATTATAACACAAAAAGAATTATAAATTTTTGTTATTACTGAAATTTGAACTTTAGACCTGTTATTTGAAAATTAATAACCTGTTCACTTCACTAAATTATTACAATACTTCTAGTTTTATATAAAGTAAATTGTTGTTAACAAAATTAAAATAAATATAAAACATATTAATTCAAAACTCTTCCCTGTAGATCCCTCGACCAAAAACTCTAGGAAAGAAAACATAGAAAAACTCAGTAACTAGACT